TTTTTCGTCATGTCTTTTACACTTTGTTATCAAATGAATTTCGTCTTCTACCTCCTGACATATATTACACAAACGATCGTTTACATCTAATTTTAAATATCTCCCTGTTTAAATTTTCAATTTATGTGCGCTTATTCTTAGGTATGTAGGTATAACCATCGCATCTTAAAGAAATGTACCATAACTTTTTCTTAACTGAACAATTGTGTTTGAGGGTGCAAGCCACTTATTTTTCATTCACAATGTCTTCTTTCTATCTTCTTAAATTACAAGTTCAATTTACGCATGCTATTGTTCTCTATAATAACTCAAAATAGGCAGATCAAAGGGCATGAAAATGAAAAGAATACATGTATGTGCTCAAATGAGATGGGGGTCATATATATGTAGGTAAAGAACAATGCAGAATATTTGTGTTATAATGCAATTCATGTATTTCTTTTCTTTATGCAGCTTAATATTAAAAGGCTGTATGAACAGCTTAATATAAGTATATTGACTTAGTAAAATTATATACCTATATTTACACATGCATTTTAACATTTAAAAAATATATAGCAAATGTGGGTGGTACAGTACATGTATGTTCTAAAGCAATTGTCAAAAAATACTAGAATATTCCTTAAAAGGACCACAAGTTGTACAAATCTACTGTCCCTTTTATCTACACTAAGCAGATTTTAAAGTACATCAATATCAGGGCTGGCCACGAATAAATTGATGGCGAGCAGATGACTGCTCCCGCAAATTTAGGTTTGGGCGAGCAAGGCGAGCAATAAAAATTGCTCACGCAAAATGTTGTTTGCGTGAGCACACATTTTGTAACACTGTTTCAATTTAAAATCATAAGAAAATTGCTATTCCTGGCACAAAGTTTGCAGTAAACATGTGTGACCATCGCTTTCTGTTTTTGACAGTCATACGTACTCTTCTTTATTAAAACCAATTTCCGTATGGATTTCTTCACCCCACGAAATAAATGTGGATAGGGCAATCAGGTTGCCTTTGGCCATTATTACGCTTAGATTGAAAATTATACGACTGCACAATGGAATAAAAACCGAAGTTCTGATAAAATAGGAAATAACGATAAATATTAGTTTGAAACGTGTTCATTTAGCGTGAATGCCAAATGCCGGATGTTAACATTCTTTACTTTAGACTCGATTATCACGTGTTTGTTACTGGTGTTCGTAGGAAAACCAGTCATGACGTTCAGGTCTAAAGTGTATTTTTAGTAACACAAGTTGCGAGTAACTTTATTAGCCAATCAAATTTCAGGAGGAAATGCCGCGTGCAGCTGGGTGAATCTCAGTTTGACAGACGAATTTATGACGTTATTGACATTGTTGGGTTAGTTTCGGCAATAAACTTGTCAATATTTTGATTATTTTTACAGGGTTTTCTTAAAATTTTGCGCGAGCAACGAACCGCTCGCGTAAATGTAGATTTACGCGAGCACAGCGCGAGCGTGAGCAGTTGCTCGCGTCTCGTGGCAAGCCCTGAATATACATGTATGTTGGCTGTTATTTATAGTTGAATTACATTTTAATAAGTTTCAAAAACAATTGTCCATATGTTTTTAAAGAGTCTAGTGAGCCAATTAATAACAAAAATAATATTGGTAGTTTAAAAGGGAATTGAGAGGAGGTAAGTTAATAAAATTATTGTCAAAATAATAAATAATATTATTATGGGTATGCCCTACACGTACCTGTACCATACAAGATAGCCACTATGAATGCCTTAATGCAAAATATGAAAATTTAGAACGCTCAAACTCACTGGTTATGAGAATATGGCCAAGAAGAACAAGGTAAAAAAAAAAGGTCTTGTGGAGATGGAGTATTCATCTTTATTGATGTCTTGTTTATATTGTTGGATAATGTCTTGTTTATATTGTTGGATAATGTCTTGTTTATATTGTTGGATAATGTCTTGTTTATATTGTTGGATAATGTCTTGTTTATATTGTTGGATAATGTCTTGTTTATATTGTTGGATAAACTGTGCAAACATATTTTTTTCTCATATGCTCAATATTAGAAACAGCTTGAATATCATATCAACACTATCGTGAACAAAATTATCATGGTTAGTGGGTACTCCATGTTGTCAACCTTATAGATAACCTGCACTGTCTGTGTAAACAAAAGCTCATGATTTACAGTCATTGACTTATATAAATGTACTGTACCCAGTGGGGTACACATTACCTGTATGTCTGGGCTATGATATGTGATGTTCTCACTGTCACTTTCCACCTACTCCCTCTCCCAAATTCTACATGTAACTTACCTAGTCGAAAAGTTTAATAAAGAAAATTGTAAATATCAAAAGTACACATATTTATATACATATATACTTCTTAATGGCAAGATTGGATGGTTATATTTTACCAAGACAAATCAAAATAGCTAATATTAAAATATAAGTGGTTCACAAATATTGTCTTGAAATATATTAAGACCAAAATAGTGTACTTTAATAGTTAAAGCTGGTGATACATGTACATGCAAAGAAAAGATGGACCCAAAGACAACTTCTAAAATACAGTGATTAAGGCTAGCTTTGGACTGAATTTGTGGTTGAGTATCAGAATTGTTGGTTGAAATACATGTAGGTTACTGAAATCATTGTAATATTGTTTATCATGTTGTTCATATAAAAATAATTTACTACTGAATGTTTCCTCTTACTAGCCAATAAAAATTATCTGAGAATGTGGTTTGTGTCATTATTATGAGATAGGAGTACAAGGAAACATGAGATTGGAGTTTGCCAGACCATCCCCTGTAAATGTTGTAAATGTGTATGTTCCAAACATACCAGAATTTGCCTGAGTCTAAAATTGCAGGGTCAGAACAACAGACAAACAGAGACTTCCCATCTTAAATGAGGTCTATGCAAAAAAGTTCAACAGGATAACAATTGCAAGTTTAGTAAATTTTCAAACAGCAATGTCCTTTTGCCATTACACAAGACCTTATATGCCTGTGAATGTCCCTATATTGTGTTAATTTGTTTTGTTATTTGGGTATCTACATTTAAAATGTTTAGGTCTACAGATAGAACCTGTAAAACAGACCAACTTTGGATTTTGTATCTGGTAAATGTAATCAAATGGAGCTTGCATTATGACTGATCAACATCCAATTCAACCCACCATTTTTAACAAAATCAAAGAGGTTTAGGTCCTTTAATGTCAATAATTAAGTTGTGTATTCTGTTCAACACACAATTTTGTATCAACCAATATGTTTTCTTATAATTGACATCCTTGGTCTGAATGCAAGAGCATATATTTACAGATCAATACAGTTAGTCCTCAATAAGTTAAAAGTTGGATGTAAGGTACATGTAGATTGATTCGTATGCATTTTTAGTCAACATGCATATTCTGAAAAATGACAATACATATACTTTTTTTTTAAAGTTCATAATAAAAATGATGTTGACACAAATTTAAACCAAAAATATTTGACAGACCTACATGTATTCCCTGTTTCTGACTACACTACAATAATGGAATAATGCAAATTTCAGAAAACCCCACCCAGCTATGATATTACTACACATCACCCAATATCGTAAGTTTGGAAATAGTGCAAAATAAAATCTGCCATGTTTCAGGCCTGTTGAGAAGCAAAATTATAGAGCAATGTCATTGGTAACAATAGGCTTATGACGTTAAGATCTCCATTCAATAATAGGTGAGGTTTAATTTTTTTTTTTAGACAACGAAAATATATGTGAATCGACACCTGTATATGCAGACTTTACTTTAAAAGAAACCATTTATTGAAATGTTTGATGAAGATATTTTTGTATAGTCTACAGGCCTCTATTATACCACACTCCACTTAACAAATCTGTAAAACTGGGTTAAATGCTATAAAAAAATACCCTATGTCTATACTTTCTACAATGTTATCTCAACTAGGTAAATCATGTATATACCATATAGATCAGCCAAGTCATAACTCTTTAATACACTAATCTCTTTTATAACCGATATACTAACATGATATTAGTACAGCAAGAGCCCTTCCTTAAATCACCGTTTTTACACAGATTTGATCCTTTAAGATAAGGGAAATTTGCTGATAAGCCAGTAATGAGTGATATCTATTGGAAGTAAAATGCTGATGTTGCAATTTAATGTTTCCCTAAGTTTAATAGGTAAACATATAAACCCATTACTTTTGATAACCAATATAAAGTTAATAGATCTTTCAGCGTGAATAATTAGTAGATCTAAAGAGCCAATATGGCTAATTTTGCCAAAAAAATAAAGTTCTATCTTGAATAACTATATCACAACATGTCATTTTCAAAAATCCTATTCAAGATTCCATGTATGTCATTTTGACTGAATATCTTTGCAGAACAAGTAATATTTCAAAATAGAATAGTATGCATGTAAAATTAAATAGGGTTAATGCCCCCATGGCAGAACAGTTCAGTACTGAATTTGTGATCAAAAAATAGTACTTAAATTTTTTGCTCTTGGTGGTCATAAAATTACAATATTTGACAACAAATTTTGACACATATTATGAGATTATGGCCACATGAAACCGACAATAGAACCTTTGCAGAAATTGAATTTGTATCAAATTTCAAACCATTTCTATTTATCACCATTGCATTATCTTCATTTAAAGATTAATAAAGATGTACAGGAAAACATTTGTTTTAAAAAAAATCTGTGCAATGGTTGATATCTAAATCTGCTGTAAATAGCTTGTTTTTAGTTATGCATTCATTCCAACAATGCGAAGACAAGACCAAAAACAAGGATCATGATGATGGGAAAGAAAAAAAAAAGAACAAAATAATAAATTTTCTTTTTAAATGAAATGAAGCCAATGTGAAAATAGTATCTATATATGTACAGTTGCTACTGGAATATAACTAGCCACAGGTTAAACGGTCTAACGGTAGGCTATCCATAAAGAACATTTATAAAATTTATAAAAAAAAAAAAAAATACTTACCCCTTGTTCGACTGCTGCAATTACTGATAAAAGTGTAATAACTGACACAATAAATATTGTCCTGAGAGAAAGTATCCCACTTTTGGGCCCTGTACACAGCCCCATCGCCATTCTATCCTCTGCTCTGCCTTTACTGGGAAACTTCTCCCCGGCCCCTCTCACACCTGAAAGGTTCGCCCAGCTAAAAACTCCCCGTGGAAAAAAGACGTACTCCTACAAAAATATAATCATTGGATTAAGAAGTCTTTCTTCGCTACAGTTTGGGCGATATGCTGTCTAGCTCGAGAGCAAAACAGCTATCTACAGACTCCCTTTCTTATAGCGGTCTTCTCGAAGGCTGTGGTGAATGAAGGCTTTTCTTCGCCGACTAACTTGGGTCGTTCAACTGGCGGTTTTCACGCCCCCGTACACAAAGCGAGAATGTCCAACGGAACTGTTGAAGCAGTGAACAAACATTGATTATTCATGTAGATATTTCACAGAAGTGGGCTGGTTCATTATGTTTTAATTTTGGTGTAAGGGAAATGGCCACATGTTTATTGTTTTACGGATATTAGCGTTTAATCAAGCGTCACATTCATGGGGAGTGTAAATACACGGAACAGCCGTACTCTGAATCGTTTGAGAAAATCTGAAGATCTCTGCGAGTGTCTGGAATAACTATTTTTACCGATTTCGTACTCTCGTGTTACACTAGATCTACAACCATAACGAAGTAATCTTGGGCGTACTGATATTTGAATATTTCTGTAACTTGACAACAACATTTACAATAAAGTTAAAATAAGACCAATTCCACGAGAACAATATTATAAGTTCTAAAGTTGTTCAGATAACTTACTATAGTAATATCGACTTGTAAACGTCAGTCACCGGGCTGATGAATTTGTCAAGATTTATTGGGGTTAAAACTAGATGTTCAAAATTAAACAATGTTTTTGATGCCTCACATATTATTTTTCAAAAATGCTCGCCCATCATCGAAACATCTGCTATCGAGGGACAATTCTCGTCTGCTATTTAAAAATGTGTGTCTTTTATTAAGTAATTTAAGGGTTGAGCGTAGAGCAATTAAATAGTCGAAAAATACTAGATAGATCTGCTTTGTTTATTTGTTGAAGGCTGAGAATATCAGAGTTATAATGAATTTTTAAGCTAAATATTATACGGAAAAAAATATTGGCCAGCTGCGAAACTAAAAAACTCTTTGTCTAGAGGGATAAGAAATACTCCCTTCTTTAAATCGGAATAATAAACAACTAGATTATCGTTAGATGCACAGGACCGTGTTTTTCAGCATAAACCCCATCAAAAATTTCAGTATATTAATTTTGAATGCTGTACAGTAAGTCAGGATGGATAATATAGACTTTTAACTTTTCCGACGGGTCGTGCGTTCGTGATGTCACTGTATTCCAACTGTATCCTCTCTTTCAATGTTTTGACGTGTTTATAACCCAGTAACCCACAGAGCATTTAAATTTCCCCAGCATATTATCGTAACCAAGCACCACGTGGAGACGAGGGGCGGATACAGGATTTTTCAAAGAGGGTTAATGTGCAAACCGGATTCTTTGGATTTGTTTTACGTTACATTGAAAAGGTTTGGTCATTATTTGTTACGTTTCATTTGTTCCCGAAATGTAGTCGGCTTGGTGTCAGTCACTGTAGTGTCAGTTGCGTAGCCTATTATTATTTCTGACCGTTAGATGGAAACACCTAATATGGCCGTTAAGAGATGCAAATAACAAAACAAATGAAAGCAGTCAAGTGGATCCAACCAAATAAATTTATTTTAGCCCTCTGAGGCTTGATACATACACAACATTTTTATATAATTAATAATACACATATACGTTTTTATATAATAATGTAATCTCTTGGGGGTTATATTTAAATTTTATATAAAATTGGCAATTCAGTAGTAAGATAATTTCGTATTTGTGTTCTAGTAGGTCGAACTTGATATGGGTACATTTTATATTTTATATTTATACGTATAAACAGCCAGCCGAGCAGAGTGGAGCGAAATCTTATTCTTGAAATAATAATTGCATTTTAACTTCCAAATGATCGGCCTTAGACCCGGGTCTTTTTTTAGTCGTAGGTCTACTTATAATCTTCACCCTGAGTCGGCTAGTTAAGGTTGTGTCGGAAACCATTCCCGATTCTGCAGTTGCATGCCTGCATTTAAAGGAGCTAAAGCTCTAACTCAATATATTCCATAAAATTAAAATTCACTATTGGTCCATTTCAATCAATATTGATTATGTTATCTTGCCATGAACATATGGGATCCTGATATCTAATATTTAAAATGAGTACACGAGTCGTGGATTTCAATGGTTTCGGGCGCTTCTGTAATGAACAAAAAACAAAATACACATCCCACAAGACAATGCAGAGGTAATTAGTAAAGGCTGATTCCGGCATAAACGACTGCCTCCCAATTTGGACTGCTAAAGATACATTATTCAAGAGCTAAGTTTGCCTATTGCAGGTTTTTCTTCAGGCCTTAAATATTATATAAGTTATTTATTAACATGAAAAGACCATTATCAACTCTCAATGCCACCGAATGCTCGAGATTTTTAACTGGATTAGAACGGTTCGTCCATTTAATGATTCAATTTAAGAATGGGGAAGTGAGGCTAAGACTCGAATATACCAATACCGTGTTTACAATACAATGTGGTTGACACATCTTGTCAAAACTACAAACCGTGATAACTTGACTCAGAATAAAGTAATTTGAATGAAATGTCCAATATATTCATTTTGTATTATCTATTTTTGAACCATTATCAAGACGGCCAACTCTTTATCTAAATCTTACGTAATGTATCTGTAACGTATTTCACCTAACATAATTGATTAGAAATACAAATTTTAAAAACTGAATATAAATCACTATTCGTATTACATTAAAGGGGCTAAGTCGCTAATATTTGGGAACTAGAAATTGACACAAATGGGTCGCAACGCATACAATAATGTAATATGAATGTATATAAATTGATTTACATTCAATTGTTTCTGTTTTTACTGTAATTTCTAATCAGTTAGGTTCGGCGAAATACGCCAGTATTCTCAATCGAATTTCAATCTCTAGCGTCTGTTTTTTCCAGTCTACGCCGATAGTATTTATTGGGCATGCTCTCCAGATAAGAATATAGCGTCACCGTTTGACATGACTTGTGGAATATGCCTAGCCTCGTTTTTCGAGTCCCTTATTACAAATAGCGCTGAAAAGCATTATGGTACACGATTCGTTTACCAATTGTAAAATGTTTATTTTGTCTTCAATATTGGATATTAGAAGGTTATCTTTTCCCGGTAAGATCACAACATCAATGTTGATTTAAAGCGACAAATAATTCGTGTTTTCAATGTCGAAGATTTTGGATGATATTGAGTTAGAGACTTAGCTACTTTAATGTGAGCTTTTAAGGTTCCAAATAATAGAGCCATGCGCCCTTTAAGCACATAAAGGTAATTCAGAAAAAGATGAAAATGTGACCATACCTAAAACAAAATTGTTGACTATCATATCGTTACAGTAATGTCGAATGTTGATAGATTTTAAATTCGCCATATCTTTGTAAATATTGAACTGAATTGAACCATTTTGGCAGATATTCCTTTTTGAGATTAAACCTTCAACCTGCAGGGCCAGCGGGGGTCTAGATCGTCGGAGATGCTTTCTAAGCGATTTCTGGCTTGTAAAATTACTCAGCAATGAAGTTTTTTAAATCCCTTACCACGAAAGCATTGTAAAAACCGTTCAAATATATCATAGTTACACCATTACGACTGAGTACAAATTCAGAGTTCAAATGGCCGCTCCCCTTTACGCAAATAATGTAAAAGCATATAATACCCAGGGCGACCATCGGATGTAAACTGTGGTCGCGACTACAGTCTGAACCAGCACCCGAACGCAAATGGCCCGGACCATTGCCCCATGTCAGTTGTTTCGCCTGCTATATTTTCTGCTATTTACTCATTTCTGAAACTATAATGTTGATGGGGATAAAGAAATGCTTTTAAAATATTTTCTTACAACGCTAACTCCTTCCGGGTTAACTGGTAACATGGATCTGCCTAAGCAGAACATTCTCATCAACAAACTTAGTCAAGGTAATGAATGAGTTTCACCACTCTCACTTAATTAAAACAACAGTCACGTGCCCCAAAGCATCAAACAATCAGATTGCTTATCTCTGCTGACCGTAAGCAGACAATATTTATCATCGAACTCCATCAAGGCATTCACCTATAATGAACGCCTACACCAAGTATGAACATTCTACCTCAAGGCATTCACCTAATAAACACCTACGCAGGAGCGGATCCAGAGGGGGGGGGGGGTCCAAACCCCACCCTGCTCAGGTACATAAAAAAAAATGAAGGCCTTGCATCAATGAAATTAAATCACAATGTGTTCCTACATCATTACAAAAATGATTTATCTCTTTAAAAAGCTCAATTTGTATGTATGCCTATGTAATTTAGAGACGTTGATGACAGATTTCCTCAACAGGAACCTGGCAAACCCCCTCCTGCAAAAATTCCCGGATCCGCCCCTGCAGTACGCCAAGATTGAACATTCTAGCTCAATTAGAAAGAGAGTTATTGTGTCCCAAAAAGTGTGACGGACAGACGGACGGACAGACAGACGGACGAAACCATTTTTGCGGGGGACAAAAATTAAACTATGTGTTGAGGATCAAAAGTTCTTGGATGAGTTTCACTTTGGTACGCATGATACCTTCCATTGTAGGGCTTTAGCCTCTGCAATAGAATGTTAAAAAGAACCCGTCGTGTTGTAATTAGCTAATCCGTCATAGATACAACGGAAATGAGATGAAATGAAATATTCGACTGCTCAGTAAAGTTAACTAATCGCGACCCTCGCAACTGGGTGCTCTTAACCCAGTGATCTGTATAGAGCATAGCAGGGGGTTTTCTTCTGAAAGTCTACATTTTACGTCTAGAAGTCTCACCTCTCTGTTAAAATCCTTTCTCTTCCAGTTACATCACTGTATCTAACTTAATGAAACGCCCACACCCCTACATGCTCCCTGTCGGCAAGTGACATGTATAGATGTATGATTTACATTGTCACTTTGTAAAGTGCCCCTGAACATGTTTAATGAAAGGGTGCACTATAAATATGCTATAATAAAAATCTCATACTCGTTGAGTTACAGTTGGAATTTGGTTAAGACGACAGCAATTCAAGATTTACCGTTATATACAATTTAGTATGTTTAAGTCCTACTTTTCTGCATCAATCTCACCATGCAGGGGAATTTGGTGGCGTTTCTCCCTGCTTTGAACATTACAGGATCTTTTTATTTGATCACATTTAAATTAAAAAAAAGTTTGATAAATGTCAGACAAATTAAACAGGAAACTAATCTTTAAAGACTCGAATTAGTGTCGTGATGTTAAAATTAGATAGGTAAACATTTACTTTACAACCCTTACTTAGTAGATGTATAAAATATAGACTCTATTCGTGTGTTATGTAAAAGAAACTGGACTATGGAAGAGAATTGCGACTTATGACTTCAATTTGTCACTGCAGAGCATAAAAAGTAAATATAAGTATAACATTATCATTTGTAGTTTATGGTGCATTTTTATTCACGTTATAGCCGGGATAGTTTACATTTATTTTGTACTTACCTCCGCTACATTGTGCATATGAATTTTTAGTCTCTACAAAACGGGTTACCTCAAAAAAGTTGGCATATAAATTATTGTCTTCACCAATTCAATTTCCACAGTAAATAACATGAGATACCGCTAGAAAACCCATGTTTTAAAGATACATTCCCACGGAAATGAAATGAAATGGGGTTTAACGTCCTACTGTTTTGCTCCGAACTGGGCTTATGAAGACGGGCAGCCGCACTACGGCCTACTCATATCGAATTCCAACTGTTAATGGATCTTTTACGTGCACACCAATGTGTACACGGGACCTCGGTTTTTCGTCCCATCCGAACGACTAGACAACTGTCATTGTCAGGCCCTCCGTCCTGCATCACTGACACGCCGGAAAATCTGAACTTTCTCGGCATGGATCGAACACCCGACCTTCAGGCTAGCAAGCCAGCGTCTTACCCACTTAGCCACATTCCCACGGAAGTATTTATAGGGTAGTTATTTCAAATTTGGTATGTACCGAAAGTAGAGACACCCAATCTTACTAAACCAATATTGGATTCCCGACAAAAACCCAATTGGGCGCGTACAGAGCAAAAATGTAAGAGTATCACTTACTGGAGACACGTAGGAGTGTTATCTGTTGGAGTGACGTAGGGAACGCTTGGTCGAAAGGCTATATATTATATAAGTTTTGAGAACAGTGAGAGAATCAAACCAGGATTAAAAAACGGAAAAGGAAGATGACAGAGGATTATCAAAGAAATTACTTCGATTTTGATATTTAAGGTAAATGGACAGCGAGAAAGAACATATACAATCCTAAAAAGGACCCTCCCTCAATCAATGGTCGACACAATAACATACTCTTCCTTCTCCAACAAATTACTTATTGCATTTTTTACAGGCATTCTACGACAGATCCTTGCAGATTGTTATAGTATCCAGAGAAGGGTGCTATAGACTCCAAAAAGGCTGTGTTACCCACGGGTTATCGGAGCGCTTTTACACAAGCGAGTTGTTTACTATCTAAACTAAATATTTAAGGTAATTGGTAGTTGGGCAATAAAAGTACCGCAAAACTCCACTGTGTGGTGCCACGCCTAGAAGACATGTGAATTCAGATGGTCGGAACACCTCAGATCACGACTACATTCACAGCATTTTACGCGACTGGCATTTGTTGTAGGAGGAGACTCGGGCCTATGCCCGATTGTTTAACCTCTCTACATAATTTTTTTCATTTGCCTTTTGCCTTATTAATTTTGTGAACAAAGACCTCCCCGTATAGCCATAACCTGACTACGTCAATTGACGAGGATTTTATTAACCGATCAAGTTGGTTTTTATATCATCCTTAATAATGTTATTAAACTGTGATAACGCCAACATGCTTGTTGCATAGGTGTAGGGCTCTGACGACCAGAAAGGAAAATAGCCATTGCCCGAATTATACCCACTAAATCTGGTAGTCGTTTTCCTCCCGAAATGAGTTTCATTTTGAACCATATTATCATAAGAAGATTTTGGAAGAACGCCTTGGAACCCAATAATATACGGGGCTCCATGTGGAAAGTGATTATAATCAGTAATTTTGGTACCATTCAGGAACTCAAATCTGTTGATAGGGAAAAAGAACGGCATACTCTGGAAGAGAAAAATAACAAATTATTCATGGAAAGACAAAATGTCATGATTAATTGACAGTATTATCATTTATACTGCTTTGCGATTTCGCCTATAGACCCAACTATCCCAAGGGCGTATATCCGGTGTAAACAATATGCATTCTCTTATCCAAGGAAGAGAGCGGGTGGGGGGGGGGATTTAAAAGTATATTTACACATTTGTACCCGAGAACGATTAGCTCGTGTGATTGGTCCACATAAGAGTGCATTCAGAATGTATAACTTTTTTTTTGCGGAGACGTGCAATGCAGTCTTGGACTGTTCCATACTAAACTTATTGACTTTTACAACGTCTTTATTATCCCAGTCGGTTCAGTACAGTAGGGCGTTAAACCCCATTTCATTTCATTTAATTTCATTGACTTTTACATACATTCGCCTAAAATGGATATATATTCAATCAACATTCCTATATTCCAGATTATAGAAGGATAATTTATTTCGCACCAATCTGATTAACATACAGATCTTTATTTCGTTTCGTTTTTTATACTTTCGATGGCCTACACTACATGAAGATCTGACCGGTTGTAGTGGAAGGTCGCGTCAGATGTCATACGAACGACTATTGACCCTATGACGTCAGACATTTGATTAACCAATCAGCGCCGGGATTTTACTGGGTTACCCATAGTTCCGTGCACCTCACGCCAAAAACTCGCCGTAGCAGACCCTTTTATTGGCTAATCCAGAACGCGGGTTATATAACAACTATTCCAGATCCCAGTGTAGTAAAAACAAGTAAAACGGAATTTTGAACTATAAAAAAACGAAATGAAATAGGATCTGTGTTTTAATCAGATTAATTTCACACTAACATTTGTAAAACCACTCGCGTAATGGGCATTTATTTCTGGCAAATATCCAAAAGTGGAATAGTACGGCGAAATAATACGTTTTTTCATTACTGCTTTAGAGTTTGCTGGATAAATATTCGATATCGGCTTTAAATTGAATGAGAAACGGACCTTTAATTACCATGTTCGTCTCTATAGCTTACACATCCTAATGCTTAATGAAATGAAATGAAATGAAATGGATTGGGGTTTAACGTCCTACTGTTCTGCTCCGACAGTCTAATGCTATTAGTTCTTCCAGTATGGAGAATCACGTGTGCATAGAGGTACAAGCGTTAAGCTTGTCCGAATATTGTAACGGGGTCAGAGATCATGCTTCTACTCTTTGATTAACTTTTTGCAGTTGTTCAAGACCTAAATTTATATATATTAACGCCCATTTCGGGAGTTTGTTGTAACATATAAAAGATTGAGCTTACATCAATCCCTTTACCAGATCCCGAGAAGAAAGAATTCCATGGTTTAAAATCAGCACTCAGTGTATACTTTAATAACCAATTTACACACTTAGATATTACGTTCTTCACATTCAAGGTCACATCTGAAATCAAGGGTACAGTTTGAGAAAGTTCTTTCATTTGTGTATGCAATTAATTATATTCAGCAAGGTCTCCGGGCCAGATTTTCGAGGATTTCCCACAATACAAAAGGCAATATTAAGATAAAGCTTATATAGTGGTAAAATAACAGTACTTCCCACTAGAAGAATAGTTTCTCACCCTTTTTCCAGCATAATTTGGATGACTTGTCGTCAAATATTGACCATGTAGAAATTAAGGTATTCACCGCCATAGCTGTTGTAAATATTCTGTCGTCTCCTTTCACCTAGAAATATGTAACCGATTGTAAACAGGTATATTTCAGTCTAATTAAAATAAAACCATACTTGTGCTTTCATTTATTTATCATTTATATTGAAACTGCACTAATGTCTAAGTGGTTTGTGTTCAAAAGACCGGACGTAACACACCATTCAGCCAATAAAAAGAAATAAAATGAAATGAGATGGGGTTTAACATCCCCGTTTCCTATAAAAAGATGTCTTTACTATGAAAATAACGGTTCAAAGAGTCAGCAGATAGTGGTTAGTGGATCTTATCTTATAGTAAGTCAAAAATATATTATGTCTAATTTTACCTAGGTTGGGTTTATTTTGGCTTTGTAACAAACGGACGGAAGATACGACCAATTTGATGTTTTGGAAATGGTAGCATGCAGGGAAATTTTAAAACAAACTGACAGTAAAGTGACAATGAATATTGTGCATTATAAATAGTTTTGAGATTTGTTTTTTTTTTTAAATCTTGCAGCTAGTCACAATGAGGAACCCTAGATTATGAGATTTTTTCCAAACTTTCTGGTGTTTGGCAATTCAAAGAAACAACTGTCGAAATTGAGAGTCCCGTATCGAATTAAACAGGTTATTGCTCCTGTAAACGTTTGTAAGTTTTCTTCAATTTATTTTTTTGTTGACGTAACAATATATGTGTAAGCTAAATTGAGAGTCTCATATTGATTTAACAGGGTATTGCATCTGTCGCACGAACCTAGTGAACGCTTGTTAGTTTAAAATCACTTTGTCCAATCCAGTTGCCAAATTTTTGTTGTTAATCCAACATAAACTAAAATAGTAAATGGTATAGTCATAAAAAGGGAACTATGTTAAACGGTTTTAATCAATAAGTGAAATGGTGTTTAAAGGACCTAAGTCCGTAACTCAAAATCCTCCAAAATCTTCGACACCGAAAACACGAATTATTGGTCAATTTAAATCAACATTGATGATGTAAACTTACCGGGAAAAGATGAGCCTCTGATATCCGATATTTAAGATAAAAAATTTTTTTAACATTGGTACACGAATCGTGTACCATAATGCGCTTCAGCCCCAGTTGTATTGAGAGACTCGAGGGACGAGGCTAGACACATTGCACCAAATCAAATGGAGTTATGTAGACTAGAATAACTAGACGCTAGAAATTTGCACTCGATTGAGATTGCTGACTTATTTCGCCGAACATAACTGATTTGAAATTGGAGTAAAAACGGAAACCATTAAATGTAAATCAGTTTATATACATTCATATTACAGTATTATATGCGTTGCGACCCACTTTTGTGAATTTCTAGGTCCCAAATGTTAGCGATTTAGCTCCTTTAACGTTTTACCAGGCTGATAAGAAGGGGTAAAACGTCCAACTGAGCGGTTTGAACGACCAGTGGTTATATGACTGTTTAAAACTTACAAGTGTATGGTTCTTGTCATCGTAATCCCCATCCCCTAAGAAATCATCAAAGTATAGCATGTCCGATCCTTCAGGTTTGGCTTGAGTTAATATTTTTGAAGTGACATGAGTTTCTAGTACTGGTTCAAGGGTGGCCAGTACCGTTTCTAGATCCTGTAAGCAAAATAAGTTTATGACATTTATATTAGCAACCACGTGTGCATGCATTAAAGTAGCTACAGTCTTTAACTCATTATCATTCAAAATTCAAAAGTCTTCGACATTGAAAACACGAACTATTAAAATTTGTCAGTTTAAATCAACAATGATGTTCTGATTAACGGGAGTAGATGGGCTTCTGATATCCAATATTTAAGGCAAAATAAACATTTTACCATTCGTACACATGAGTTTCAGCGCCATTTGTAACAAGGGAGTCGAAGAACGGGCTAGACATATTCCACAAGTCATGTCAAACGGTGACTTCATCATAAATATCCTATAATAGGATATCTATGGACTTCATTTTTTTACCTGGAGTGCATGCGCAATAAATACTATCGATGTAGGCTGGAATATCCAGACACTAGAGATTGTCTTTGGATTGAGACTTCTGGCGTATTTCGCCGAACATAACTGATTTGAAATTAAGAGAAAAACCGGAAACGATTGAATGTAAATCAGTTTATATACATTCATATTACATTATTATATGCACTGCGATCCATTTGTGTTCATTTCTAGGTCCCAAATATTAGCGTTTTAGCATGGGTCCGTCTTAACCATCAATATGTTTTACATGCACCAAAGAATACAATGATTTTGTTCATGTTTTCCGAAAGGGAATTTCATCGGAATACACAATATAGGGCTTAATGTTCACTCAGTACAAACTGGATCATTTTGTGGGGTGTATTTCGGCGGCAATTCTTTGACTGGGCCAGACGAATACCATGATCAGATTTCTTTTCGACATATCAATGTTCATATCTACATATATATCATATATTGTATCCTGGAACTTAACCCATGACTCATAAAATTTCACGGCATAATTCTAATATATTCTTCAAAGGGTGTTCCTGAAGAACGTACACACAGTTTTGTTTAAAACATCGGTCTTATATGTTAGTGATATTCAGATCAAAATAAAAGTTATGTTCTATATTCCATGATAAAATGTCAAAGACATTAAGACTAAACAGTGTTCGGTTTTCTTATCATATACACCCTTTCACAGCTATTTATATAAATATATATTGTCAAAGAACATGAACTAACCTGGTGTGGAAGTTTACTATATTTAGATTTTTCGTTTAAAAGGAAGACAGTTCGAGCAACAAACCAGTATAGTTCAAATACCGATGGGTAGTAAGTTAAAGCCAGATCACGTCGTTGGTGAAAGTCTGTCCTTAGTTGATAAGCAACCATATTAGTGGTATTCAGGTAAATTTGCTGTACAAAAAATTTAAAGATTCATTTCATTTTTTAAAAAAAATGTATTCCTTACTTCATGAGATATCCAGTGTTGGTCGAGAAACTTTAATCCGATTTTCTAGCGTTGTTTTACCTTGTCAGTATTGCAGAGTGAAGTATCTGGCAAGGAACTGCATCCAGTCGTGCGGATGGGGCGAACACCCGAGGTCACATGTACACATTGGAGTACAGGGGAAGACGCGTCGAGGGACGCGAGAACGAGAAGTCGAGGGACGAGGGAGCGAGAAGTCGAGATAAAAATAATCTCGTGTTCTCGGGGCAAGATGTTCGCATTTTAGCCCTGTTTCCTCGACTTCTCGCTCCCTCGAGTTCTCGCCTTCGACTCCTCGCTCTCTCGAATTCTCGTTCCCTCGCGTTCTCGCCCTCGAGGGCAAAGAGTCGCGGTTGAGAAGTCGAGGGCGAGAGTACGAGAACGCAAGGATTTTCAAAGGCAAGAAAGCGAGGGAACGTGAAGTCGAGGGACGAGTGAGCGACATTGCCGACAATGCGTGGTAAACATAATCTCGTGTTCTCGGGGCGAGCTCCTCGCATTCAACTTCTCGCACTCTGGACCTCGACTTCTCGCGAGATTATGAAATGGTCGTAATAGGCTTCCATACGGGGTAAGATCCTCGCATTCACACCCTGTTTCCTCGCGGGAACGAGAAGTCGAGGGACGTGGGAGCGAGAAGTCGAGATAAAAATAATCTCGTGTTCTCGAGTCAAGATGTTCGCATTTTAGCCCTGTTTCCTCGACTTCTCACTCCCTCGCCTTCGACTCCTCGCTCCTTCGCGTTCTCGCCCTCGAGGGCAAGGAGTCGCGGTTGAGAAGTCGAGGGCGAGAGTACGAGAACGCAAGGATTTTCAAAGGCGAGAAAGCGAGGGAGCGTGAAGTCGAGCGACGAGTGAGCGACATTGCCGACAATGCGTGGTAAACATAATCTCGTGTTCTCGCATTCGACTTCTCGCACTGTGGACCTCGACTTCTCGCGAGATTATGAAATGGCCGTAATAGGCTTCCATACGGGGTGAGATCCTCGCATTCTCACCCTGTTTCCTCGCGTTCTCGCACTCTCGCCCTCGACTTCTCGCTCCCTCGCGTTCTCGCCCTCGACTTCTTGCGGCGAGAAGTCGAGATTGTGAAATGGCCGCAATAGGCTTCAGTAGGTTTCCCTTCCTTAAAATTGACAAGAGCAAGAAAATTGATGTATTAAGCATACCTGTATGTCAAAATCATCTAGAGTACTAGCAGGTATCAGACCAGTTAATATAGACGAGGTTATACCATAAATAACATTTGACGATACAGTGACATCCACATTATTTATATTAAAAGGCATTGAAACACCTTTACTTCTCATATTACTAGTTTCATCAATATCACTGATCTGTAAGAAGAAATCACACATCATTTACAGCCAACAATTTTACTTAAAGGAGCTAAATGGCTAATATTTGGGACATACAAATTGACACAAATGGATCGCAACGTATATAATAATGTAATATGAATGTAAATAAACTGATTTACATTCAATCGTTTCCGTTTTTACTCTTATTTCAAAGCAGTTATGTTCGGCGAAATACGCCAAAAGTCTCAATCGAATGGCAATCTCTTGCGTCTGGTTATTCCAGCCTACACTGATAGTATTTATTGCACATGCTCTCCAGATAAAAATATGGGGTCACTGTTTTACATGACTTGTGGAATATGTCTAACCCCGTTCTACCGAGTCGCTTGTTACAAATTGCGATGAAACGCATCATGGTAGACGATTTGTGTACTAATCGTAAAATGTTTATTTTGTCATAAATATTGGATATCAGAAGCCCATCTTTTTCCCGGTAAGATCACAACACAAATGTTGATTCAAATTGACAAATAATTCGTGTTTTCATTGTCGAAGGTTTTGGATGACATTGAGTTAGAGACTTAGCTACTTTAAAGCTATGTGAAGGGGAACGGGGATGCCACAGTATGAGTTTGGATATGTCAAAAATTTATGGGGGTCTTCCCTATGTATGAATAGGAGAACAACCCAAGCCAATATGAAACAGAAATCTCAGAAAGATTGATATACGCAAAGTTTACAAAGTTTCGATGTCAAGGGAAAATATTCTAGCTGAAAAATACAGGCACAATTTAAAAACAATCATCCCAGAAACGATTTTAGTGACATGGGGCTGTACCTGGGCAGCTATGACTTCTGGCAGGTTTCCTCCATAAGACAGCCAAGCACACATCTACTATTATACTCATTCCCATCCTCAACCCCCTTACTTCTCCGCCTCATCATATACTACCACTTTGAACCTTCGTATAAGGTTTTAGTGGCAGTGGAATTAACTTGGCTGTCTTTCTATAATATTATGAATTACTCGAGTTTGAAAATATGTCCTCCATTTAGTGTAATCTCATACCGCGTGTTGGCTGAATGGTTATCTAGCTTTTCTAATACCCCACCCACCATGTCTTCAAAGGCTGAAGCTGACATGACTTTCTGAATCAAAATGTTATAGTGCAGCATGCGACATATACAGCTACTGTGTTGACAAATGTTATTAATAAAATAAAACAAACCCATGTTGGTGTTAATGCAAGATCAGTCGCATCATTCAATGCTTCTTCAAGAAATGTGCTCAGATAGTAGTAGCTTCTTGGATCAATTGTATTAATTTTGCTATCGTTAGAGAAAGGTCGATACGCATACTTCTTCAAAGCATCGAATACTGACGTAAGGTTAGTGTTACTGCCCATCCAACTTTGTTGTTCTGTGCCAAAATCTGCCTTTAAATCAGTCAAAAGAGCACCAAGGCCAAGGTTCACAAAAGTGTCATCAAAATCTGGAGGAATATGAAACGCACTTCTGAACATCGGTCTGAAAAACAGGCTCGTTTTAAGAAAGTGTTTCATAATTTTTTCGGATACTCTTACCATTATAACCTTATGTCCAATGACACAAAGATTTAATAACATTTTATCGAGAACTGCATTCACAACCTTTAATAGTTAAAAACGTTCAAGGGGCGTTTGCGATATTTTTTCTTCTTCTATGAATTGCAATAGGATGACAAACAAACGAATATTCACATAATATTTTGTGAGTAAGAAACATTTCGAGTAGGTGTAGTCTGTCCTGAAACTCGTCCATATTACATAGAAGTGTCAGTGTAAACTAGTAGGTTATTTAAAATGAACTCAGGGTTGGAATAAGCTAGTGTGGGGCATGTAGCATATGCCATGAAGAGGCCCTAAATTGGCAAAAGTACAAAGTAATTTTAAGACACACAGATCATTTCCATTATTTATTTTATTAAAAAAATAACCACAACTGAAGGTGATAATAAAATTAAAATTGCTAACCATAAACACTCACACATTCAAAAAATTGGAAGCCAGTACAAGACCGTTGGAACACTCCTTGTTTTAACACAAGAATTTAATAAAGTAGATTTCGGAACATCTAAGATGCGGGACCTATTAATCCGGAATATAACTTTATAATTTACAACGAGACAATTCTGAATTAACCGGAACCCTTTTTTATTACCAGGAATGCACAATGAATGCAATTTTATTTTTAAAAAAGGGTGTTATTTAGAAATCCAATCTGTCCACCGGAAGCCGTCATATCATTGGGGTGTATTATTTATAAGAAGATTATTTTTACTGACTCTAGTATCAACTAAAAATAAATTTGTATTGGCCATGGAACCACCATCTGTTATTGTAATTTAACGGTACAGACTTCCAGAACAGTTAGTTCATGGGGTTCTTCTATGATGCACCCCAAATCTCCATGTGTACGACTTCTTGTTCAAAATGAGAATTTGTTTTTCTACTTACTTTTCACCAAGTAATCGCTCTATTAATTTACCAATGTCGTTGAAGCCAAAAAGTTTAAGAATGTCCTCAATAGTTTTTACTGGTAATCCATCAGTTTCATCAAATAGTTTTAATAGATTAGCTGGTGTACTGATATAAGTTGATGTTGTTTCGTTGTAAACTTGTGGCCAGAACGACATGATAGAATTTTCATATTTCCTGTTCTTGTTTCTGTACTGGTTGATAGAGTTAAGGGAAAGTTGGATATGTGACCGGGATGGTTTGGGTGCTCCACCGTAACGATAGGCTTCTAGAAGACAAGACGTCACCCATGCTGTGACGAACATGTTGTTGTCAAATACACTGAACTCATCTCTCACAAACGCTAGATGGGAAGACCCATGAAAATTAAGTTTCACTTCACTTCCATATACGCCCTTGTCCTTCTGCCAAGATAACAATGGAATGAACTGGGTTTGTTTCTTTACCTGCAATGATTCTGTTTTATCTTTGAGCTCAATTATCAATTCTTCTAATGTCCTGGCAAATGTTCCTGTCATTAAACAGAAAAGGAGAATCGTACATTTTGTCATTAGTCTTGATTGCGGCCTCATTATAAATATCATAACGGTTAATACCACTCAACTAACTTGTTTGAAGATTCGACACGAATATCATTAGTGTACTAAATACTGGTTCAATACAAAAAATCCGACAGATGTCAGTTCTCTCGTAACAGATCAAAACTATTATTTAGCAGTCAACCAAATGCAATTCGTTAGAGAAAGACATCTCTGAACTGACATCGAAAGTTCAACAAAGATAACATCTGTTGGGGTGTCTCGAGATAAGGATTAATACTATATAGCATACAGTATGGGCAAAAATTATATTTTTCTTGACAACAAAGATGGATTGTGATTGATTGTTAATGTGTTGTTAGGTATTAAATTTCAGTAAACCCATCCGTAATTAAGCACATAGTTCCCCAAAAATTAAAAGCTCAGTATATTACATATTATGCGTCGCTATTCGAAATTTTCTCGCGCCTTACGTCATCATTCTTCCACATGGTTGTGGTATTATACTAACTCTCCCAAAACAGGCAGAATTGACTGGCAGATCGTTAGATTCTGTCGAATTTCAGAACCTCTCCTTCGCAAGAATTTGCTCCCAGCAATAACCTCAAATGCCAGGAAATTGTCTCAGATTTTAAAATTTTTCCCGGGGTGTGGAGTGGGGGTGGAACCCCCTTTCAGGTTGTTCGCGCCTTCCGCGCTCAAAGGATGCCTTCGGTATCCCAGCTGCCTTCTCACAAAACTCCTGGATACGCTACTGAAAGCAATCAAGAGGATGCTGGCAGGGTTTTTAACATTATTTTTAGTCCAAAAGCAAGACGTACATACAGAGTACTAATGTTAGTATGTCAGTGGTAAGCCAAAAACACCATTTGATTAAATAAATACATAATATTTGCAGCTATACGAAGGCTGGTATGTTTAATTTGAGGTGAAACTAAAGGCATCCAATCGTATAGCTATATGAAAAGCTGCAATAGACCCTCTGGGTCAAGCTCTGAAATTTATTTAGGCTATAATATACTAATATTAAGAATGATGTATTGAACTATTATTCAAACTTTTGAACGTCATTTTCATTTATTCTTTAGGGTATAATACACCTCATTGTGGGCACACGGCAAACAAAAATATGCAAAATAATAAAAACCTCAATAATAATAGACTGGCATATATTTCAGAATTATTAGTACTTGCATTTGTTTTATCTGGTCCCCAACGGTAACCCCCCCCCCCCCCCCAAAATCGTGGAAATAAAATAAAAACTCAACAAGCAAACGACCCATAGGTTGCACGTTGGGTTTTGGGCACATGTGGGATATGCGCCTATGGAATGACCATGGGACATGCGCCCATGGAATGCCAATGGTACGTGCACCCATAATGACCTTGGGAAATGCCCATTCGACGTGAACCCATGGAACGTGAACACATGGAATGCCCATGGGACATGCACCCATGAAATGCCAATAAGACGTGCACCAATGAAATGCCCATGGCATTGGCACCCATGGATTACCCATGGGATGTACACCCACCATGGAATGCCGATGGTTCCCCAAAACCGCTTTTGCAACGCATATGGGTCACTGGCCCATGTAACTTTCGTGTGCGAAATTGCCCTTGAAACAGTAACCAATGCTAATCTTTTCTTGGAAACATGATTTGTAGTTAAATATAAACCATCATTCATGCTAGGAAATGACCATACAAATATTGCAAATTATGCACACCCCGCCAGTTCGTCGGTATCAGAATTTTGACCCCTTTAGTCGTCCGCAATGTTAACTAGGGGAGATAATTCTTAAAAACAACATGGCTACCTTCTGAATAATTTTGTTTGTCGTAAGTCAGTCCCCAAAAATAACAACATGGCTACCTTCTGAATAATTTTGTTTGTCGTAAGTCAATCCCCAGCCACAACAACTTTCATTGTAAGTGCCACTTTTGCCCGCTTTTCTTCGGGTATTTATTTACATATGCGAAATAATCCAATGGATAGCGGTCGATTTCTTTGTCCCAGGTGTATACATGCCGCAAAATGTTTTGTAAGGGCATGAATAAGCCCATATAGGCCTGTGGTTTAGATAAACTTTAAAAGTTCGGAAAGGGAAAGTCTCAACGTGGTAGGACCACGAGAACTGGTAGAGGTGTGAAAGTGCAGTAGCCAAATAATAACATGTAAATCATAGGCAAATGTTAACGTTGTCCATTGCTAGGCCTATTCTATTCAATTTTGTATCTATGTCGATCGACTCTATAAGTCTATATACTTTAATATATAGTCTATAATAGAAGTAATTGTAATTTTACAAGATGACTAAATCCACAGACAAGGCCCGGCAGACAAATCAAACATTGCTGCACTGGATATTAAGTACAGTAATCTTTAAAGAAGAAAACCTAAGCTGTTGTGCAGCAAGATTCTTACATGTTCCTAACAACTTGTTTCATTTGTGATAGTGCATGTATGATGGGGAACTCATCTAAGATGGACAATATCAGAATGTAATCAACTTTTCTATTTCTGTGGAAATGTAAATTATCATTTTCCTGTTATTGTTATTTTCAGGTGACAGTGCTAAAATGTCTTTTATAACTAAACATATGTTGAAACTACCTTCAGCGTTTAGATCATGTGTCAATTTCAATAGTTTTAGTTCTTTATGCTTGAGACAGTCATTGTTAATAGGATATTCACCATGTCAAAAGAAATTAGAACAAAATGCAGTAAGTTATTCTGATGGAAAGAATAACATATTGTCATATCAACCAAAGTCATTTCAAACAAACAATAAAAACAGTTGTTCAGTTGGGTGTGCAGAAATGTTTCACACAAATTTGATAAAAAGATATTACTCTTCAAGCTCCTATTCTGATGAATTTAACACTCCATCACCATATAAGAAACCTGGTCCTAGAAATTATGGTTATAAAACAAAAACTTTTACAGAAGGTATGTCACGTTTATTTTTTGTTTTATAGGTACAGTGTGGCCACCTTCTACATACCCAGTAGCCGGCTAATCATGGACAAATCCTCATCTCCATGCGACGATTATATGGTCCTAAATCTTGATTAAACCTTGGTGATGTCCACCGTCATTATTAGCCCAATAGGTGCAAAAAAGTATGACAGTAAACCCCATTTCGTTCATGATGTCAGAGTGAACATTTATAGACATCAAAATTTACGCCTTTTAAATCTGCTATTTCAGTGCAGGCTTTAAAAATATGGTTACTAATATTATCCATTGACCGGAGTCCAGTCTACAACTGTGCAAATTTGATATGTTCGTTTGTGATTTCTGCGTCTTGTGTCTTGTCCATAAATTTGTTTTTGTGTAAATTATGTGTGGTGCAGTCCCACTGCACTTACCTATTAGCTATTGGTAATGTGAGTGTATTTCATTGCCTGGCAAATTATCTATGATTAAAGCATTTTAGATTTAACTCAGAATATTTATCGTAAAGCAGAATCACAAAACAGTGGAATTGTGACATTACACAAATAAATTCCTTGATTTTTATTTTAATCATTGTTATAGGACTCCTTCCACGATCAGAAGAAGAGAAGAAATTTTTGCAGAAATATAAACCTAAAGATTCTTGGAATAGGCGGAGAGCTTTATTTGGCCAAAATGATTACATAGGTAATTTTTGTAATGCTGTGATTAGACTTGCTTTTAGTTTACCGAGAGCTTCTAGAGTTTTAAGAGAACCAAATAAAAAACAAAGCAATCTCCAGAAATTGAATGGTCACTTAAAGTCTATGATCGTCATTTGAGAGATTGTCAATCCCCTTGCAAACTACAATATTGTAAAACTTAAATCTGTAAAAGGAATATCAGTCAGATAAGGGTTCAATTCCATTCAGTATTATTATTATTACACATTTCTATAGTGCATAACTGCCATATAAATGTGCTCATGTGCACTTTACAAAGACAATATTGCATTGACATAATAAAATGAGATAACAAAGTGCATACTTATTTCGATAAAATTATATGTAATTAGAAATTAAAATAACTCTTAATAATCTACAATTAAAATGATCACTGGGTAAAAGCCTTTTTTATAAATATGACCTTAGTTTTAATAGTTTAAAAGTAGGAATATCAGTGACATTACGAATTTGAATTGGTAATTTATTCCCTAACAATGATGCTTGTACATAGTATGACAGGTATCCATATGATGATATTTTGATTTTTTTTTTCTGAATTAAATGTCAATCAATTTAAGAACATTTTAACATGGATTAAGCTGTGAACGTTTAGATATTGTATGAAAATGGCAAATGATGATTAGCGAGTTTAATCTCAGTATCCCTTTAAGCTACCTGGTAATTGTTTTTGTCAACTGCATTGTAATAACAATGATATCATAGTGTATCTGTGCATTGTCATTTCTGCAGAGCAGAACAGGGATTAAATACTTGAGAGATTAACCCTTTAATGAATTCTGACAATGTATATAATTTTATGCCTTGCTTTCAGTTGGATACTGTCCTCAATTTCTATTTTGAAATTTAAACGCTCTAACTTCTTAACATTAAATTCACTGTATTCTGTGACCCATTACTCTAATCTTCTTATGATTTATTTTTTGCAATTATTAGAAAATTATGACTTAATAAGTCAAGAATATCTTGCATTAGGAAGTATTAATACTGTATTCTGAAATTGGTTTGTTATATTTTAGATATATTAGGCGATGAAGGCATACATCCAGTTAATCTTATTAAAGGACCACCATGGTTAGTTGGATTTAATGGTAATGAATATCAAAGACTTTCTAGAAGAATGAAATTTGAACGTGAGGAACTGAAACATTTCTCTCCAGACAAGTATCATAATATTAAGAAAAGAATGTTTTATCTATTTAAGAAATATAATCAAAGAAGAGTGTCAAGATGGAAATAAGAGATTATTCAGATACATATTTAATATTAGCCTTTTAATATTAGCCTATCAGAATCAGGTGCCAATGAGTTGACTACAAATGTTGACTGATCACTAATAAACTTTAGTCCTAGTGTTTTTGGAAGTAAATATATTTACTGTATGCTAAAATCATTATATTCATATTTACTGTGTGCTAAAATAAAATATACATGTATTAAACTGTGTAACCAATTTGTAATTATTGAATACGATTATTGACATTAAGACACATGAGAACTCAGAATACTGATGTATGCTATAGGCGGGTATGATTTAGGTACAGTTCATTATTACTTGAGAATGTAATTATTCTAAAATCAGTCGGAGAGCAAGTTTCTAGGCAAGAAGTAATATTCTCAAATTGGGTCAAAATGAATGATCTCTTCTGCAACATCTTTTTGTCCATCAACAGGTTTATTGAAATATACCAAAGAAGAAGTGGATGCATTGAATTTGAAAAAAATGTTATAGAAACTATAGCCTCTGTCATGTTTATAAGGTTTTCGGAAAAGAGGGGTTACACCGGAATGGGGGGTCACAGAACGCTGAATATCCACACCAAATTTGAAATCAATCTGTTAAAGGTCTTCGTCAAAAGAGGTAACTCGGGAATGAAAGGTCACAGTATGCTGATTATTGATATTGTTTGTCCTCTCATGAACCCAGTGCTTCAAACCAAATTATGGCCTTTAATTTGTTTACAGGTTTTTTTTGAAAATACTGCATAACTCTAGAGGTGTGCCCCAAAACCAAATATATCCTAAATATTAGGCGTTTTTGTGAACCGATTAGATTAGACCGATTAGCTATTATACGCATTTGTGAACCAAGTTGATTATGCTAATCGTTACATTTGTGAGACGATTTAACTCAACTGATTAGGCAAATCGACCTAATCGTCCCAGGAGGTGTTTAGGCGATTAGATTTGACGTTTTCAAAATGGCGAAATGTTCGACATCGTAAGTAATTTTTAATGCTTATTGTTGTTTTTCTCCATAAAAAATGTTTTTTTAAAACGCATTTGATGTGTTTAAAGTAGCTAAATCTCTAACTCAATATCATCCAAAATCTTCAACATTGAAAACACGATTTATTTGTCAAATTATATCAACATTCATGTTGCGATCGTAACGGGAAAAGATGGGCTTTTGATATCCAATATTTAAGACAAAATAAACATTTTACCATTGGTACACTAATCGTGTACCATAATGCGCTTCAGCCCCAGTTGTATCAAGAGACTCGAGGGACGAGGCTAGACACATTGCACCAATGTGTAAACTGGAATAACCAGACGTGGCGCTAGAAATTTGCACTCGCTTGAGACTGCTGGCTTATTTCGCCGAACATAACGGATTTGAAATTGGAGTAAAAACGGAAACCATTGAATGTAAATCAGTTTATATACATTCATATTACAGTATGATATGCATTGCGACCCACTTTTGTCAATTTCTAGGTCCCAAATGTTAGCGATTTAGCTCCTTTAATGTTAACTTTATAGTCCACAAGAATGTTAGATCACCTCTGGCTCTAAGCAATTTTAGGCCCTCTGGGTGCCAGCAGTGTCACTGTAATCTGTAGGTAACTTGGACTACACGTGAAACACACGCCCCCCTCGTCATGTTAGCAGAGACAATTTTTTTTCTGATCGGTGTCCGTGATGGCAGCTGCCTTCTCACAAAACTCCTGGATACGCTACTGAAAGCAATCAAGAGGATGCTGGCAGGGTTTTTAACATTATTTTTAGTCCAAAAGCAAGACGTACATACAGAGTACTAATGTTAGTATGTCAGTGGTAAGCCAAAAACACCATTTGATTAAATAAATACATAATATTTGCAGCTATACGAAGGCTGGTATGTTTAATTTGAGGTGAAACTAAAGGCATCCAATCGTATAGCTATATGAAAAGCTGCAATAGACCCTCTGGGTCAAGCTCTGAAATTTATTTAGGCTATAATATACTAATATTAAGAATGATGTATTGAACTATTATTCAAACTTTTGAACGTCATTTTCATTTATTCTTTAGGGTATAATACACCTCATTGTGGGCACACGGCAAACAAAAATATGCAAAATAATAAAAACCTCAATAATAATAGACTGGCATATATTTCAGAATTATTAGTACTTGCATTTGTTTTATCTGGTCCCCAACGGTAACCCCCCCCCCCCCCAAAATCGTGGAAATAAAATAAAAACTCAACAAGCAAACGACCCATAGGTTGCACGTTGGGTTTTGGGCACATGTGGGATATGCGCCTATGGAATGACCATGGGACATGCGCCCATGGAATGCCAATGGTACGTGCACCCATAATGACCTTGGGAAATGCCCATTCGACGTGAACCCATGGAACGTGAACACATGGAATGCCCATGGGACATGCACCCATGAAATGCCAATAAGACGTGCACCAATGAAATGCCCATGGCATTGGCACCCATGGATTACCCATGGGATGTACACCCACCATGGAATGCCGATGGTTCCCCAAAACCGCTTTTGCAACGCATATGGGTCACTGGCCCATGTAACTTTCGTGTGCGAAATTGCCCTTGAAACAGTAACCAATGCTAATCTTTTCTTGGAAACATGATTTGTAGTTAAATATAAACCATCATTCATGCTAGGAAATGACCATACAAATATTGCAAATTATGCACACCCCGCCAGTTCGTCGGTATCAGAATTTTGACCCCTTTAGTCGTCCGCAATGTTAACTAGGGGAGATAATTCTTAAAAACAACATGGCTACCTTCTGAATAATTTTGTTTGTCGTAAGTCAGTCCCCAAAAATAACAACATGGCTACCTTCTGAATAATTTTGTTTGTCGTAAGTCAATCCCCAGCCACAACAACTTTCATTGTAAGTGCCACTTTTGCCCGCTTTTCTTCGGGTATTTATTTACATATGCGAAATAATCCAATGGATAGCGGTCGATTTCTTTGTCCCAGGTGTATACATGCCGCAAAATGTTTTGTAAGGGCATGAATAAGCCCATATAGGCCTGTGGTTTAGATAAACTTTAAAAGTTCGGAAAGGGAAAGTCTCAACGTGGTAGGACCACGAGAACTGGTAGAGGTGTGAAAGTGCAGTAGCCAAATAATAACATGTAAATCATAGGCAAATGTTAACGTTGTCCATTGCTAGGCCTATTCTATTCAATTTTGTATCTATGTCGATCGACTCTATAAGTCTATATACTTTAATATATAGTCTATAATAGAAGTAATTGTAATTTTACAAGATGACTAAATCCACAGACAAGGCCCGGCAGACAAATCAAACATTGCTGCACTGGATATTAAGTACAGTAATCTTTAAAGAAGAAAACCTAAGCTGTTGTGCAGCAAGATTCTTACATGTTCCTAACAACTTGTTTCATTTGTGATAGTGCATGTATGATGGGGAACTCATCTAAGATGGACAATATCAGAATGTAATCAACTTTTCTATTTCTGTGGAAATGTAAATTATCATTTTCCTGTTATTGTTATTTTCAGGTGACAGTGCTAAAATGTCTTTTATAACTAAACATATGTTGAAACTACCTTCAGCGTTTAGATCATGTGTCAATTTCAATAGTTTTAGTTCTTTATGCTTGAGACAGTCATTGTTAATAGGATATTCACCATGTCAAAAGAAATTAGAACAAAATGCAGTAAGTTATTCTGATGGAAAGAATAACATATTGTCATATCAACCAAAGTCATTTCAAACAAACAATAAAAACAGTTGTTCAGTTGGGTGTGCAGAAATGTTTCACACAAATTTGATAAAAAGATATTACTCTTCAAGCTCCTATTCTGATGAATTTAACACTCCATCACCATATAAGAAACCTGGTCCTAGAAATTATGGTTATAAAACAAAAACTTTTACAGAAGGTATGTCACGTTTATTTTTTGTTTTATAGGTACAGTGTGGCCACCTTCTACATACCCAGTAGCCGGCTAATCATGGACAAATCCTCATCTCCATGCGACGATTATATGGTCCTAAATCTTGATTAAACCTTGGTGATGTCCACCGTCATTATTAGCCCAATAGGTGCAAAAAAGTATGACAGTAAACCCCATTTCGTTCATGATGTCAGAGTGAACATTTATAGACATCAAAATTTACGCCTTTTAAATCTGCTATTTCAGTGCAGGCTTTAAAAATATGGTTACTAATATTATCCATTGACCGGAGTCCAGTCTACAACTGTGCAAATTTGATATGTTCGTTTGTGATTTCTGCGTCTTGTGTCTTGTCCATAAATTTGTTTTTGTGTAAATTATGTGTGGTGCAGTCCCACTGCACTTACCTATTAGCTATTGGTAATGTGAGTGTATTTCATTGCCTGGCAAATTATCTATGATTAAAGCATTTTAGATTTAACTCAGAATATTTATCGTAAAGCAGAATCACAAAACAGTGGAATTGTGACATTACACAAATAAATTCCTTGATTTTTATTTTAATCATTGTTATAGGACTCCTTCCACGATCAGAAGAAGAGAAGAAATTTTTGCAGAAATATAAACCTAAAGATTCTTGGAATAGGCGGAGAGCTTTATTTGGCCAAAATGATTACATAGGTAATTTTTGTAATGCTGTGATTAGACTTGCTTTTAGTTTACCGAGAGCTTCTAGAGTTTTAAGAGAACCAAATAAAAAACAAAGCAATCTCCAGAAATTGAATGGTCACTTAAAGTCTATGATCGTCATTTGAGAGATTGTCAATCCCCTTGCAAACTACAATATTGTAAAACTTAAATCTGTAAAAGGAATATCAGTCAGATAAGGGTTCAATTCCATTCAGTATTATTATTATTACACATTTCTATAGTGCATAACTGCCATATAAATGTGCTCATGTGCACTTTACAAAGACAATATTGCATTGACATAATAAAATGAGATAACAAAGTGCATACTTATTTCGATAAAATTATATGTAATTAGAAATTAAAATAACTCTTAATAATCTACAATTAAAATGATCACTGGGTAAAAGCCTTTTTTATAAATATGACCTTAGTTTTAATAGTTTAAAAGTAGGAATATCAGTGACATTACGAATTTGAATTGGTAATTTATTCCCTAACAATGATGCTTGTACATAGTATGACAGGTATCCATATGATGATATTTTGATTTTTTTTTTCTGAATTAAATGTCAATCAATTTAAGAACATTTTAACATGGATTAAGCTGTGAACGTTTAGATATTGTATGAAAATGGCAAATGATGATTAGCGAGTTTAATCTCAGTATCCCTTTAAGCTACCTGGTAATTGTTTTTGTCAACTGCATTGTAATAACAATGATATCATAGTGTATCTGTGCATTGTCATTTCTGCAGAGCAGAACAGGGATTAAATACTTGAGAGATTAACCCTTTAATGAATTCTGACAATGTATATAATTTTATGCCTTGCTTTCAGTTGGATACTGTCCTCAATTTCTATTTTGAAATTTAAACGCTCTAACTTCTTAACATTAAATTCACTGTATTCTGTGACCCATTACTCTAATCTTCTTATGATTTATTTTTTGCAATTATTAGAAAATTATGACTTAATAAGTCAAGAATATCTTGCATTAGGAAGTATTAATACTGTATTCTGAAATTGGTTTGTTATATTTTAGATATATTAGGCGATGAAGGCATACATCCAGTTAATCTTATTAAAGGACCACCATGGTTAGTTGGATTTAATGGTAATGAATATCAAAGACTTTCTAGAAGAATGAAATTTGAACGTGAGGAACTGAAACATTTCTCTCCAGACAAGTATCATAATATTAAGAAAAGAATGTTTTATCTATTTAAGAAATATAATCAAAGAAGAGTGTCAAGATGGAAATAAGAGATTATTCAGATACATATTTAATATTAGCCTTTTAATATTAGCCTATCAGAATCAGGTGCCAATGAGTTGACTACAAATGTTGACTGATCACTAATAAACTTTAGTCCTAGTGTTTTTGGAAGTAAATATATTTACTGTATGCTAAAATCATTATATTCATATTTACTGTGTGCTAAAATAAAATATACATGTATTAAACTGTGTAACCAATTTGTAATTATTGAATACGATTATTGACATTAAGACACATGAGAACTCAGAATACTGATGTATGCTATAGGCGGGTATGATTTAGGTACAGTTCATTATTACTTGAGAATGTAATTATTCTAAAATCAGTCGGAGAGCAAGTTTCTAGGCAAGAAGTAATATTCTCAAATTGGGTCAAAATGAATGATCTCTTCTGCAACATCTTTTTGTCCATCAACAGGTTTATTGAAATATACCAAAGAAGAAGTGGATGCATTGAATTTGAAAAAAATGTTATAGAAACTATAGCCTCTGTCATGTTTATAAGGTTTTCGGAAAAGAGGGGTTACACCGGAATGGGGGGTCACAGAACGCTGAATATCCACACCAAATTTGAAATCAATCTGTTAAAGGTCTTCGTCAAAAGAGGTAACTCGGGAATGAAAGGTCACAGTATGCTGATTATTGATATTGTTTGTCCTCTCATGAACCCAGTGCTTCAAACCAAATTATGGCCTTTAATTTGTTTACAGGTTTTTTTTGAAAATACTGCATAACTCTAGAGGTGTGCCCCAAAACCAAATATATCCTAAATATTAGGCGTTTTTGTGAACCGATTAGATTAGACCGATTAGCTATTATACGCATTTGTGAACCAAGTTGATTATGCTAATCGTTACATTTGTGAGACGATTTAACTCAACTGATTAGGCAAATCGACCTAATCGTCCCAGGAGGTGTTTAGGCGATTAGATTTGACGTTTTCAAAATGGCGAAATGTTCGACATCGTAAGTAATTTTTAATGCTTATTGTTGTTTTTCTCCATAAAAAATGTTTTTTTAAAACGCATTTGATGTGTTTAAAGTAGCTAAATCTCTAACTCAATATCATCCAAAATCTTCAACATTGAAAACACGATTTATTTGTCAAATTATATCAACATTCATGTTGCGATCGTAACGGGAAAAGATGGGCTTTTGATATCCAATATTTAAGACAAAATAAACATTTTACCATTGGTACACTAATCGTGTACCATAATGCGCTTCAGCCCCAGTTGTATCAAGAGACTCGAGGGACGAGGCTAGACACATTGCACCAATGTGTAAACTGGAATAACCAGACGTGGCGCTAGAAATTTGCACTCGCTTGAGACTGCTGGCTTATTTCGCCGAACATAACGGATTTGAAATTGGAGTAAAAACGGAAACCATTGAATGTAAATCAGTTTATATACATTCATATTACAGTATGATATGCATTGCGACCCACTTTTGTCAATTTCTAGGTCCCAAATGTTAGCGATTTAGCTCCTTTAATGTTAACTTTATAGTCCACAAGAATGTTAGATCACCTCTGGCTCTAAGCAATTTTAGGCCCTCTGGGTGCCAGCAGTGTCACTGTAATCTGTAGGTAACTTGGACTACACGTGAAACACACGCCCCCCTCGTCATGTTAGCAGAGACAATTTTTTTTCTGATCGGTGTCCGTGATGGCAGCCATCTTACCAAATCGTAATTATCAAATTTCACATTTGTGGACCATAGCTAATCAAATCGAAATCATACCAAATCGTACTAGCAAATCAAAACCTAATCTAATCGACTCACAAAAACGCCTATTGATTTAAAATGTCATCTAAATTGGACAAAACTTATGGGATTTAAAATGTTCAAGGAGTTGCACTCCGATGCACACCAAAATAGCTAAAACGAAAGTGATTTTTCGTACAATCAAGGGCCATAATTCAGGAAATTACAATTCGATATGCGCAAATATCGAAAGGAACCAAGATCTTTGGGTTATAAACTTACATTTCAAGTTGTCAACAAAATCGGATAAAAATTGTGACCTCTATAGGGTCCACAACCTTGATATACCATATTTTTACGCTATTTGAGAACGAGGGGCGACCATTTTGTCTGTCAGTTTTGGGCCGATTTTCATGAAATTCGAACTCAGCTGTCCTTAAGGTGTAACAATGATATAATAATACGTTTTTTTAAATCGGATAAAAATTATGACCAAATACCTGGCACATTGCCATCAATTAGCCTTAGAGGTATCCCTAACGTCACAATAGGGACGTTCACTAATATTCCTACCTGCGAAAATGAAGCACATCTGTGGAAATTTGCGGACAATGTCTCCGAAACAACGGAGGTAAAATATGGCAGATCGCCTTGTCCTGTACCTTTTCCAACCATGAGTAACTGGGAGGCTTTTTTTGTGAAGGAGTTGATCTTTGTCTCGAACTAGAGGCCTGGCCAGTTTCTCGCACATCGAATCGCGATGATTTGGCAGAATCAAACATCAGTAAAGAAGACTGGGTATTTTTACAACGTTTCAATCGAGAAACGCAGAAACAACCTCGTGAGCTCCTTGTTGAATGCAAGAAATCTTTTCCTAGAGCCACTTTTCAAAGTATGCAAAATAGTAGCATAATTCTTAGCCTAACTCAAGGCCGAATATGAAAAACAAGGACGAGTTCCCAATTAATTTAGCCGTGGTACCCCTACGGCGAAAGCTAATAAAAAATTAGTGCATACACACCCATAACCTAATAGAGTTAATTTTAAGCCCTCGATAGTTTAGGAAACTTTAAACTTAGAGATCAAAAGGGTTAGGAGCCTTGAGTCAATGCAAATAAGCATAATCATGACGGCAAATTCTTAGCCGAATATCTTTGCACACTTTTCGGAATAATCGACTCCGGTGCCAAAGATCGACTCAGTTCCATCTGTGACATCACATGTGCTCCGGTGCCCACCGACACTATATATAGAGGGCCACCGCACATCCTCATTTAAGCCTGAAGAGTTCGAATAAGAACGAAACTAGTAGCTGAGAGAAATCTGGGAAGGCTGTTCGCCTATTTACAGATTTTTTACCTCTATAGGGTCCACAAGCTAAAAACGCGATTTTTCGTATAATTAGGGGCCATAAATTAGGAAGTTACGGGCCGATATGCGCGAATATTGAAAGGAACCAAGATCTTTGGGTTATAAACTTACATTTCAAGTTTCAACAAAATCGGATAAAAATTGTGACCTCTATAGGGTCCACAACCTTGATATACCATATTTTTACGCTATTTGAGAATGAACGGCGGCCATTTTGTCTGTCAGTTTTGGGCCGATTTTCACGAAATTTGAACTCAGCCAACCTTAGGGTTTAACAGTGATATAATTCGAACTCAGCTGTCCTTAGGCTTTAACGGTGATATAATAAAACGTTTTTTAAAATCGGATAAAAATTATGACCTCTATAGGGTCCACAAGCTAAAAACACGATTTTTCGTACAATCTGGGGCCATAATTCAGGAAGTTACGGTCAGATATGTGCGAATATTGAAAGGAACCAAGATCTTTGGTTTATAAACTTACATTTCAAGTTTTAACATCTATAGGGTCCACAACCTTGTTATACCATATTTTTACGCTATTTGAGAACGAAAGGTAGGCCATTTTGTCTGTCAGTTTTGGGCCGATTTTCACGAAATTCGAACCTAGCCGTCCTTAAGGTGTAACAA